TGTTTAAAACAACGACTTAGAGAGGTTTTTGGTTCTCCTTTTGTTTATAGTTATTAATCCCTTGTTAGGAGCAAAGACAGGGATTGAACCGTCGACCTTCCGATTAACGACCAACCCGCTCTACCTCCTGAGCCACAGCCGCCCTAAGTTTTGTGTGCTTCAACAGCTCTCTATGAGCCCGTTCTGCTCTCTGCAGGCTAATGTTACATATCCACATTTCAGAAGAGTGTTTTGCCTGTCTGATTTTGCTGACTTGCTGATTTGTTCAGTTATCCTTTTTTTGCAGTTCTACTGTGGTTAAGTAGGCTGCGTAGTTAAATTGTTTCTTTTTCTGTGTGTTTTAACTGTTTTAACTGTTTTAACTGTTTTAAACTGTTTAATTTATTGTTGATGTACGATCGGAGTCTTCCTGCCTGGTTCATCTGCTCTGTGCTGCTTGACGCGGCTTCCGTCAAATAGAATGGCAGTGAATCTTGAACTTCAGCAAAACTTCAGTAAAAAAAATAAAAAATCGCAAATCAAATTGCAATCACAATATCTGGCAGAAAATTGCAATTAGATTTATTCCCCAAATCGTTCAGCCCTGAGAGAACACGTTTACCAGACTGCTGTTCCCAAAAGTCACTCATTTTCTCTTCTTGTGCACAGGTGGAAAGTCCCTCTTTGTCCTCTCATCAACGTTGTAAAGACTCGCATTCAACACTGACTTGTTTTTGCCACGTTTCATATTGTTAACAAATACCGTTTAACATTAACCAGTAGTTTTATTTTGAAAGTGTAACCAGACGTTGCATACAGTCCCCTCCAAAAGTACTGGAACAGTAAGGCAAATTCCTTTGTTTTTGTTGTTCACTGAAGACATTTGGGTTTAAGATCAAAAGATGAGTATGAGACAAGAGTTCAGAATTTCAGCTTTTATTTCCTGGTATTCACATCTAGATGTGTTAAACAACTCAGGACATATCGCCCTTTGTTTGAACCCACCCATTTTTCAAGTGAGCAAAACTATTGGAACATGTGGCTGACAGATGTTTCTTGTAGCCCAGGTGTTGCCTTTTAGGTTGATTGTCCAAACATTAAATAGCTCTGCATGACTAGTCTAAGTTTTCATCCTTGGTTCAAACCTATAAAGACTGCATTTCCTGATAAAGAGGAACCAACATGAAGACCAGAGAGCTGTCTAGGGAGAAAAGCAAGCCACTGTCAAGCTGAGAAAAGAAGGAACGTCGACCAGAGCCATTGGACAAACATTGGGTATAGCAAGAAGAACAATTTGGAATGTCCTGAAAAAGAAAGAAACTACTGGTGTACTGAGCAACAGACGTCGAACAGGTCGGCCAAGGAAACAACAGTAGTTGATGACAGAAATATGGTGAGAGCTGTGAAGAAAACCCCCAAAACATCAGTAAGTGACATCACCAACGACCTCCACAGTGCAGGGTGAAGGGATCACAATCCACTGTTGGAAGAAGACTCAGAGCAGAAATATAGAGGCCGCACCACAAGATGCAAACCACTCAGCAGCAGGAAGAATTGGAAGGCCAGACTGAAATTTGCAAGGTAGTACAGAGATGAGCCGCAAAAGTTCTGGAACGCAATCTTGATGAATGAATTCAGAAGTGTACAGAAACATTTCCGGAGAAATGCATTGAAACTAATGGGGAGGAAGTTTATCATGCAGCAGGACAATGAGCCAAAGCACACTGCCAACAAACAAAGGACTTCATCAGGGGAAAAAGTGAAAGGTTTTAGACCAGCCAAGTCAGTCACCTGACCTTAACCCAATAGAGCTGCATTTCACCTCCTTAAGAGACTGAAGGGAGAAACATCCCAAAACAAACAAGAACTGATAGAGGCTGCGGTAAAAGCCTGGAATAGCATCACAAATGAAGAATGCAACAGTTTGGTGATGTGATGGGTCGCAGGCTTGAGGCAGTTATTGCAAGCAAGGGTTATGCCACCAAATATTAAATGTTATTTACTTTAAGATTATTTGTTCCATTACTTTTGCTCACCCAAGAATGCTGTGGTCTAATACAAACAGTGATATGTCCTAAGTTGTTTAACACATCTAGATGTGAATACCAGGAAATGAGAGCTGAAATTCTGAACTCTTGTCTCATACTCATCTTTTGATCTTAAACACAAATGTTTTCAGTGAACAACAAAAATAAAGGAATTTGCCTTACCGTTCTAATACTTTTGGAGGGGACTGTATATATCATTGCTAACTTTACTGGACGTTGCAGATGTTCCCAATTGCTAACTTGACTGCGGAGCCCCTACACGTCCAAAAAAGATGCTGGAGCATGTGCCCCAGTAAAAGAGTCTGGTGACGCCCATGGCTGAGGCGTTTTGTGAATACCAAACTTAAATCGTTTGAGTGTTTTTTACAAGTAGCTCAAATCAACAGCTCCAAACTCATTACATTGACTGGACATCAGGTTTGCAAATTACTACCCTAAATTAGCGTATATTGAGGTGATTAGTCTAGAAGTTCACTTAGCTTTTCCAACCTACACTGAATGTTTCAATTAATATGGACAAGTACAATACTATAATTTGTGGGTTATTAGTTAAAACAGAATGTGTTTGTTCATTGTTGTTACTTAGATGTAGATCAGGCCACATTTAAGAATTCCAGAAAGTAATTCCAGTTAACTTGGAGAGTAGTTTTTTCTGTAAGCTTTCTGTAGCCCTTTCATCCAAAGTACCTTACAATTTGCCTCTCATTCACCCATTCTCACACCCACACCCACACACAAACACCATGCAAAGCACAGGTCTGACTATCGGGAGTAATGCGGGTTCACTGTCTTGCACAGATCCAGTTTTACATATAAAAAGGAGAAGATGCAACTCAACCTATAAAATAATTAATGTAGCTAGCGTACTAGCTATGTAGTTATATACACGGTGTCCCCATTCACAATCCCGCCCACAAAGCTCTGACTGGACAAGCATTTCTGCAACCAGGGAAAACTGCAGTCAGTGACCACAACACTAACCTATTTGAATCTCTGACAAATATGAGCTGTGGGCGATGATTCAGAGATTCTGAAACCAGGCAACAGTACATCCCTCCACAACTCAACAACGCAGTAAACCCCATCCATCTGCTACCACCTAACAGACATAGTGCGTCAAAAACAGCGTAAGGGCCAGATGTGTTTCCCTAAAGTGGACTCACGTTGTAGAGGATGTCCACCCATCCCTCCATAGTGATGCACTGGAAAACGGTGAGAACAGCAAAGAGGATATTGTCAAAGTTGGTGATGCCAAAGCTGGGTCCGATCCAGTACTCCTTACAGGTGGTGCCATTATCACAGGTCCTGGCCGGAGCCTCCAGGCCACAGGGGAAATCTGCTGCCTGCTCGCCTACATCCACAAAACACCCAAACATATACATTCACACACTATCACATACAGAAACAAAGTACACAAACATGCTGAGGTATTTTCAGAGAAGGCTGGACAAATTAAATACACAAGATGACAACATTTAAGCAAAGTACATGTGACATAATGATGTTTTTATCCACAGCGACTTACGATTGGAGTTCAAACAGTGCTGACTCTTCACTGTTGATACAAACATGTATGACAGACCTTTAATTTTGAAATCATTTTTGATTGTGATTATTATGTAATTATAAAGTATACAGAGCTTAAATTCCATAATATCTATGTGCACTTTGATGCCTCTTGTGTCTGTAGTCTGTGTTCTTTACAGGTCTTTATGGCACACTGGAAGCTGCTCAACATCTGCTATGTCTTCATTTATTTTTGCACTTTATTTACCTAATGTTGTCATTCTGTGTCTACATTTTGTCATTCTAATATAGTTATCTGTATTCTTTGTAAATAGAACATCTACTGCATATCTATTAGAAGGGCAATACCTCCCTTGTCCTGTTTTAATTTAGATATGCGTTTGTTTATTTGTTTCTTTGTGTGTGTGTGTGTGTGTGTGCGTTGTTGGCATATTCTTTTAATTTGCCCTGCTGGGGATACAGACAAATCTATAATGAGTCTCTTGTAATACTGATTACATGTTATACTTCTCATACTACAGCTGCACAACACACTGTAGCAGGTTTGAAGATAGCAAAAGTAGTGAAGTAATTTAGATCTGTTTTCATAGCTAAATAAAATACACACTGCATCACAGCTTTCCTTTAGTTGTTCCCTGTAATGCTCTGTGTAGAAAGGGCTGTTACAGTGGATCTGTTTGGACAAAATTTATACAGTCTCTCAATACTTTAAATGTCCGTTTCATCTAATGGTAGCTGAAAAATATCACTGACAACAAAAGCAACCAACCACAGCTAATTCTGCACACTTTCAGTGTGGTAAATGGCAAATATACTTTAGGCTGAGATTAAAATGATTTAACATTTTGGGTCAAGTAATTTTTAATAAAATTAAATTTTGAAATAAATGAAATTAAAATGAGTTTTATAATTTTTTAAAGACAAATACAAAAAACTAAAACAAATCCAGTACCCACCTCCCATCATCATCCCTTAGCCAGCTTGAGATCTAACTAGAATACACCATAGAAGAGGGGCATCCTCTTATAAAAACTTTGTTAGTCAAGGTTACAAGGTTGTTTATTTGTATAATGAAATAAAAGTTTGTATTCCTTTCATGCTACACATGAAATAACACAAAATAAAACAATGGCCCTACATTTATTTATATACAAAAGCCCTTACATATAAGCTACATACATACAGTTGCAATATATGTCAGGAATGGGAGATGAAGCAAATAGTTTGTACTTTGCAGAAACCTCAGTAAATTACTTGAGAATGGGGTGTTTTTCACCGCGGAACAAAAAAGAGAAGAAATTTATCATATACATAACTATACAATTAATTAACAATGCCTTCGGCAATACATCCTTGACACAGGGATGATGGAGATCAAATTATGCCTAGGTTAATACCATGAACTTGTTTATCCCTTGTTCTCCTCTAGCTTACCTGTGTCTATCCTGAAACAGGTGCGATGGAACTTGCCCATGTAGAAGTCGAGGCCGATGATGGCGAACATGAGGATGGCGAAGAAGAGCAGCAGGCCAATCTGCAGCAGAGGTACCATGGCTTTCATAATGGACTTCAATACCACCTGCAGACCTGACGCAGACAAGAGAAATGTGCTTTTGAAAATAAGTTTGAGACCATTTTATTTTATTAATTTAGCTTTTGGCTTTGCCTTCATTGGAGAGTGACAGTATGATGACAGACATGGGAGGGGGGGGGGGGGGTATGACATGCAACAGGTCCCTTGAAGTACTGACTGATGTTCTTAATGGTAATGCAATTTCTAAATCACAATGGTTACATATTTATATAATCTAAGTTTTGCAATGAAGGCAATTTGCTTGAAATAAACAATTTTCGTTTGCTAACCTGAAAATTAGACTGAATTCCTATTTTGTTTCACTTCATTCATCCAGTCTGACATTGTGTTCATGTTAGCAGATTTCTGTCATCCGAGATGTGGAAAGTAATTCAGGCTACAGGTTCACAAACCAAACACAAGATGCCAGATTGTCTCAATATGGTTAATGGCATTTCAAAAGCGTAAAAATGAATTTTAAATGTTTCTTCATCATTGCTTAGGAAATGAGTAAGAGGCCTGTAAATTCATACTGTAAGGAAAAGCTTCATTGTATATATCATATAAGCTTCATTGTGGAGATTATTCTTGATCTGTGGGAAGCATCTGTGAAAAAATATTTCAAACCAACAAATTAAACATAAAACGTTATATGTTAATAATGCTGTTGTCACAAGTGGATTTTTAATTGGAAGATTGGATATTTTGGTCGAAAACAAATTAAATATGTTATCAGTTTACTGATTCAATACGTTCACTATTAACATTTTTGTTCACTCATACACAGTCTTTGATTGCAAGCTTTCTAACAAGGTACCGTTAATACATCACATACTTCAATTTGGTCTTAAACATAACCACACAAAGTGAACTTTAAAGCAACACGTGTGTCCATACTGCTTAACATACGGTGCAGATCAAAGGAACTCACACTGCATTTTAGTTAGGTTTCATCTCATGTTTTTTTCTTTTTAATACATTTTGTTTGTATACATTCTGGTTTATTTAATAAGAGTGAAGCTCAAGTTATTATATGTAGAACTCCAAATGCTTCACCCTACTAGCAATTGATGGTAACGCTTAATTATTAATCAGATTTCAAAATTCATTCATAATGTCTGATTTCTTTCACAGGTTCTCCTACCATGTTAATGGGGAGAGAAAAATGGGGAAAATGGTTACTTTGCTTTGTTAGCAACCATTGAGATAACATCCTATCAACCGTATCTAGAAACTCAAACTAAAATGCTTCGTGCCTGTGACAAGTGATGCCACACGCAAGAGGAGACTTAACACGTTTTTCTTTCTTAGATGTTTATAGTGATTGGACAGTGGACTGCATATTCTACCAGCAGAGGCTGACAATCTGCAACCTTTTCCATAAAAGTTGCAATGTGTAAGAACAAGTTAAAAAGACTCAAACTAAAATTATTAGCAGAATGTGAAGAAATAAAAGTTTTGGTGTTATCTCAGAGAGTAGTCTATTTATTGTGTTGTAGACATAGGAGTCATTTACACTGGGGACATGTCCCCACCACTTTTTGAAATGGCTGATTTTGTCCCCATCACTTTTTTAAAACATTCTGAAATATAGCTTGCAGTTAAATAAGAAATGAAAAATCCTTTAGAAAAGTTTATTTGCACATTAAGAAACATGCAATGGAATTAAACTATAGAAGAAACTAATGTGCATTGTCAAAAAAAGGAACTTAACTTAAAAAAAAGCAAGCTACTGATTATAAAATGACCCAAAAATGTGAACTTTAACACTTCTTAACACAGTTTCTTTTTGGCCATGTTATCCGTTCTCTCCCTGTGAACATAACAAAAGAGGAGGAAAGACTAAATCATGCCTACATATATGTTGCCTCAGTAGGGACGATATTACATGAGAAAAGTTGATCTACGGGAGAAACATATCTGAAAGCAACACAGAATACTTTAGAGCTGCACTGCTTTATATTCTGTTATATTTATACACTGCTCAAAAAAATAAAGGGAACACTTAAACAACACAATGTAACTCCAAGTCGGTCACACTCCTGTGAAATCAAACTGTCCACTTAGGAAGCAACACTGACTGACAATCAATTTCACATGCTGTTGTGCAAATGGAACAGACAACAGGTGGAAATTATAGGCAATTAGCAAGACACCCCCAATAAAGGAGTGGTTCTGCAGGTGGTGACCACAGACCACTTCTCAGTTCCTATGCTTCCTGGCTGATGTTTTGGTCACTTTTGAATGCTGGCGGTGCTTTCACTCTAGTGGTAGCATGAGACGGAGTCTACAACCCACACAAGTGGCTCAGGTAGTGCAGCTCATCCAGGATCCAGATCCCTCAGGAGACCATCCACCACCTCATCAGGAGCATGCCCAGGCGTTGTAGGGAGGTCATACAGGCACGTGGAGGCCACACACACTACTGAGCCTCATTTTGACTTGTTTTAAGGACATTACATCAAAGTTGGATCGGCCTGTAGTGTGGTTTTCCACTTTGATTTTGAGTGTGACTCCAAATCCAGACCTACATGGGTTGATAATTTGATTTCCATTGATAATTTTTGTGTGATTTTGTTGTCAGCACATTCAACTATGTAAAGAAAGGAGTATTTAATGAGATTATTTCATTCATTCAGATCTAGGATGTGTTATTTTAGTGTTCCCTTTATTTTTTTGAGCAGTGTACATTTTGAAATGTAATGTGCTACCTGAATTTTGTTTTTCCTTTTACATAAATAAAACATTTCCCCCATAAATTGGTGCAGAAACCTTCACCAGAATGCAGGAAATTAAGTCTTTAATGATCAAAATTTCCTGGGTGAGGTCCCCCAGACCCCCCGTTCCTGTATCTCAGAATTGAGGATATCTTTAAAACACTTTCAAGGATCTTTTCATCTCGTTAACCTAATATTGTGTATTGAGTATTGTGATGTCTCGCGAGCTAAGTTTCTCTGTGCACCCCTAATCTGAGCCCCTATGTCCCCACCAGTTTTCAACACAAAGTGACGCTCTTAGTTGCAGAGACATCTACTGAACTTATTATGGTAACCAGCTAGCATGGCCCATCCTGTCTCATAATACCACTTTGTACCTCAAGAGGCGATTTATTTATACCGATATTATAGCTCAGCCCTCCACCATGTAGTTTCAGCTAGTGTGCTAGCAGCGAGTTTGCAATTTTACACAACATTAGTTTTTTTGGTCTAATAAATAAACAAAATTAACTCAAAAATGTCAAAAAAGAAAATATTCTTACACCTATTTTCTTTATCAAACAGAAAGATACTACTGTACACCTTCTGAATTCAAGTTTTTCTTTCATTGAACTAATTGCCTTGTAAAACATACTTCATTCAAACTCGTTAGCTGCAAGCTAACTGTACAGACACCTGATTATACAGACACAAGATCACTGATTAACATGTTATATGTAACTGGTTTAGAAATGTAATTTTGTTTGGGTGGGGAATTACGGCGGGAACCATTTCTCACTTTGACAACAAGCTGATATAAATAATCCCAGCACGTAACTCCCCTTTAGTAGTAGTTGTTTTTACATTTCTGGTTATGAGTGGATTGAACTAACGAGATACAATGTATTAATTAGCCAGTTTTCAGTCTTAATGTTAAGCCAGGCTAACTAATTCTGTTTCTGGAATTAACAGTGCTAGAAATTAAGCTAATTGTGATGAAAATGTGTTAAAATGTGAAGTCATTGTAACTAACAGATACTTAGTCAGTTTGTTTGATTTGGAGTTAAAAGACATATGGTTTCACAATGCATTTCCCAATATTTGTGGAAAGGGAGGTCACACTTGTCCGCGTTTCAGTCTGATGCTGCTTCTCTGTGTGAGTGGCCGGTGAGGTTCACTTCTCCGCATAAAAAACTTTGTCCATAACATCAGCTGGTTAGTCAGCGCCCCCTAACAGCCCCCTATCACGACGACAAAGAAGAAGAGTTCTTTCTTCTTCTTTAGTGTTTATTAGCGGTCGGCTGACTGACTGAATGATGCTCTACCGCCAGCTGTTGCTCTGTCATTTTGTCGCTCCAGTCAGAAAGACTGAGGGGAAATGAAACAAAGTTGAACTTATTTTAAAAACCTAAAAGATCTGGGGCTTTTGACAAAACATTCGGGGCTTAAGCCCAATAAGCCACCCCCGCTCCGCCTATGCTCGCGTTCACCGTCACTTTCTGCCCCTCGGACAATCAAATTTACAGTTACAGTTGTATTCCAGGTGTATTAGAAAATATTCAGTTGCATTATAATCTACAGGATGGTTTTGATGGTGACATTGCTATTAAAATATAGATTTTATACCAGGCGAGGACGAAAATATCGTATTTTCCTGTATTGTATGTATTCTCTAATAGAAAAATAAATAGATTCATATTCTTTAGCTTCTGATCTACCAAAGGAGATCTTTGCATCTAGGCCTAATGGTTGAGTTATTACTGATTCATTTTGGGTATATATTATTTTAGGCGTTTTTCCTGGAAATAGGTGTCTGTTTCCAAGAGGTTAATAAATTATGGGCAGAATTTTGCACATTAAACAAGTATTGTCAGTCCACTGCTGAAAGTGCCTACAATGGGCATGAGAGCATCAGAACTGAACCACGGAGCAATTGAAGAAGGGGGCCTGGTCTGATGAATCATGTTTTTACATCACGTGGATGGATGGGTGCGTGTGTCGCATGCCTGGGGAACACATGGCACCAGGATGTACTATGGGAAGAAGGCAAGCCAGCAGAGGCAGTGTGATACATTGGGCTATGTTGCAGTACATGAACGCCCTTTCACGGAAATGGTATTTCCTGATGGCAGTGGCATCTTTGAGCAGGATAATGTGCCACAAAGCAAAAATGGTTCAGGAATGGATTGAGGAACCACCAGGGTGTTGACTTGGCCTTCAAATTCCCCAGATCTCAATCCAATCAAGCATTTGTGGGATATGCTGGACAAACAAGCCTGATCCATGGAAGCCCCACCTCACAACTTGCAGTGTGAAAG